CAGGTGCCGGCTGCCGCGGGAGCCGTTCAGTCGGTATGCAGCTGTCGAGTAGACACCAATGACACATGTGGTGGAAGGGGGCCCTGGCGCAGAGTCGATATCAGAGAACAGCGTCTGGTATTGAAGGTAAAAGGAACGTACTATAGGTTTGTCTCATGTCTGCTCCAACAGCAGAAATGACGGTGCATGATAATGTGTTCCTTCCAGATGAAATCACCTTTCTGTTATTCCTGAATATGCTTTAGATAGTTTAAGTTTAGCTGTCTTATCTGAAACAAGCCAGTTTTTCATTAATGAAAGGGCTAGATGGCTGGATTTCGATAACAGGGACCGGGTATCACATAAACGAGAACTAAGAACGATATCTTGTTCTAATCTTGTCTCATGTTTTCGTCAGCGCCAGTTGCCATTAGTGAGTGTCTGGTCAGGATACCAGACCACAAAAACTAGTTTCGTTACCAGTCAAACAAAAACAGCTGACATCGAATGACATCTCGATTCCATCCGAATCACCCATTCGAAACGCGGGCGTCCGATCTCTCGCATCAGTTCACGTCACTCGCATCACTGACCCCAGATCCCACAGGGCAGTGCAATGAAATCAGTTACTAAATTTATCAGGCGGCGGTTCGATGGCTGGCACCCTGTGCCCTCGCGCGGCGGAGCCATATACCTTCAGTGAGCTGATCCAGCATCGGGTACATTCGAGTGACGGCCTCGTCAGTCATCACCCAGCCGCCCGTGGTTATCTCCAGCCGACCCGAGCGCACCAGCTCCTTGAACGTGTTCTTCTGCTGTTCCGTAGCGCTGCCGGCAGCACAGGACATGGGAGTCAATCGCCGCGTCATGAACACTATCGGTAACATCGGGCAAAGGTCAGACTGGAATATGATTTGCAAGAAATCATATCATCTCCCTCGTAAGTGATAGGTTTATAACGGTCAGACGTGACTCGTTGAATAGGTCCACTACAGGTCACACTGGCCGGTGTCAATGCACACTATGCTGAGACTGTTATTACTGCGGTGTTGACCTCGAACGGTGCGCCCATTAAGGCCTGCATTGTCACCATTACTACACAAAAAGCGAATGCCACACAAGCGGCATAACTCTACTCTAGGCGGAAGCGGATGCGATTGAAGCGATGCACTGCCTGCAATGAATGCACGCGACATGTGTTGCATCCGCAGTTGGCGCTGCGGCGCCGGGCTAACGGAACGGGGCGGGGCGGGCAGCGAGGGGAGAGGGGCGGGGAGGGAGGGGAGAGGGGCGCGGCACTCACTCCTCCCACCACAGCTGCAGAAAGGTGACCTCAGTCCACATGAAGCGCATGTTGGGCTGCTGCGGCATCATGAGCACGATGCTGTCGAGAACGTGACGTGTGCGCGACCGGTAGTAGTCGACCACCGTCCAGCCCCAGCCAGGGTCGTTGTGACTGTGAGGCACCACCATTATCTGCAGCCAGGGAACACACAGGTGCCGTTAGGTGGCCGGCGAGTGTATGTAACGCGCAGGGCATGCCCTGCAGCTGTGTGGTTCACTCAGGTAAACTACCACCAAAGATAAGGCTGTAGGAGCACTACGAATTTGCTTAGTATTTGATGCTCTGGCATAAGCCTAGTTTGATGCGTTTATCGTATAACCAAAATACCGCGAACAATCAATGCTGATCTGTTTGCAGTGTTACCATTTTAGCATTGTCCAAACGAAGTTTATAGCATCCAAAAATGTCCAATGCCTGAATCGTGTCACGTTTTTCGGCTTATAAGATCTCGCCTCGGCTTGTCTAGGCAAGGGAGATAAATTTGCATCCCATTTAGCGGACTTAATCCGCACATTCATTTTATGCAAATGAAATTCTAGAGGACCACCACAAATGCGGGAAACGGCTCATAAAACAAATGAAAAAGGATATTCTTAGATCCTGAATCCGATTCCTGAAAAAAATTATCGATTATTTGTTCGGCCGCTAGGCACGATAACTTTATTCAGTCCGATTTGCGGGCACTTCCCGGTTTGGTTTTAAATCAATGTTATATCGCCGAGAAGCAACAAAAAAAAAAAAAAACTTGTAACTAAGGCTGTGGGTTAATGGTTATGCATGACAGCGTACGAATTCGTACCTTTAGCGGGAATGGTGGTTTTACCCTCGTCTTCTGAAACCTTTTCTCCATTTCAGCGTTCCAAAACGTCTTCTTCTTTGTCCATGGTGCCTGTAAAAAGAGCGCGACTTAGCATGGAATGCCTATACCAGTGTGCACTGCAACAAAAAAAGAGCAGTTCTAAGTTCAGAATAATAAGATCAAAACCGAGAAATGACCTTGCTCGCTTTTATACTCACGAGCCTCAAAGTGTCAAAACTGTGTATATTAGCTGCTTCGCTCGAAAGTCATTAGAGGCGTAGAGGTAGAGGCACCGTACATGCCTAATGACAGGCCTGCGCTTGACAGACGGTACCTGCATGGTTGAAATGCACATTAACTGTCACCAGCAACCCTTGCAGTGTCAGAAGTCGTATTGTATTGTATTGTATTGACAATTGAAACACTCTCCATATTAAAATGGCTTTTCTGAGTGTCGCGTCAGAGTTAAAAGGGGAAAACGAGTTAAAATGCACCCAAATCACAGCACTCAGTAAACATATCGAACCATTCACTCATCCCTAAATACGTAAAAACCACTCAGAAACAGAGTGATTAAAACTTCCCATAGACAGGCTCCTAAAATCATGGGGCAGGCGATTATATAATTGGGCGATGCTGTAGAGCAGACGGCGCCTCTCTGCTTCGGTCCTGACACGTGGGAGAGCCAGATCAGTGTCCGCCTTGTCGAGCGTGAGCGCAGGGAAGAGTTGGTCAGGATTTGAGAGGATATAGTCTCCGGCTCTCCAGTGCAGCGTATTTTGTGAAGGAAATTGAGTGAGTGGATTTCGAACAGCTGACGGGCGGTGGGCCAACCACTTCCTCTCGCACGTCCGATATGTGGTCAAATTTTCTTCGGCCAGACACAACGCGCAGCGCAAAATTGATAACTTTTTTGATAACTTTTTGGAGTCGGCTAAAACATCACGTATACATGTATGCACTCGCGTTCAGAAAAATGTTTGCTTCTTTTTTTGTACCTACAAAAAAAAACGTAAACACTGATGCTAGGGCTGTACCAATGCAAGTAATTCCCTGAACTGATAAAAGTTTAGCGTCGAGCTGCCATGGCAATACAGGGCATTGAGGTGGGAGGGGATGCGGCCATGTTTTGACATTGCATCAGCATCAAAGTCGAAGCTCGAATAATCCCTGATGGCCTAAATCGACGACCAGACGCATGGTCACTATTCATGTCAATAGGTAGGGGAGAACGGGGTCAATTGTAACATTTTTTGCATTTTATCATCTGGTGCAAACACGTTTGCAGTCATAAATTTCTTTCTTTTATTTTCAGAAACTATGATGTTTTGTCTTTAAAATGCAGTTAAAACATTTTCGAAATAACTTCTTTTTCGGGTCAAAATTGTTGTCCGAAAAAGTCAATTCAGCTGTTACAATTCACCCCAGATACGGGGTCAAAAGTAACACCACCCGGGGACAATTGTAACATGTTAACTTACAGGCTACAGCAACACATTTTTTTCCAAAACTTTGATTTAACAAAAGTATTGAACACTTGTTCATCTTCCCAGACTTGATAGGTACGGTTCTTCTCAGGAAAAAAAGGCTTAAAGCCTCTCACTTATACAGGGGTTGGATGGACCTCCTCTCCCTCGGTTTTTCGCAAATAAATCGCGTAAAAAGCTGCCGATTGCGACAATACTTACAATTCTCTTAATTCTAGCAATGTTTCATCTCCCTTGAAAATTTGACGACTTTGACATAATGGCCATTGACCTATAACCTGTTACATTTGACCCCTGCAAAAATGTTACAATTGTCCCCGTCGCGCCTTGACATATTTTAGACGAAACGGGCGCAAAAAGATGTTGCATGTACAGCTTTTAATGCTTTCAATTTATGGACAACAAGCCTGCCAACGCTTACACAAAGTCTGAAGTCTATATCTTTTCAATGGCGGGAATGAGCTAATCAAATATAACGGTATAAAAATTTACAAAATGCTCTCAAAAACACATTACTGTGCACAGCCATCGACATACCCGGCACTTTCGCTTCAAACTCCGTTGGGAAAGGCAGAATAGAATTGCGCATTTTCGGTCTTAACATCAGCTCATTCTATTGGTAAGTTTATGAATTATTAGCACTGTTACAATTGCCCCGTGTTACATTTGACCCCGCTCTCCCCTATGTCACATTGACATGAATATTCATGTTGTGCATGTGAATGTGCATGCCGATATTCGTTGAAAGGATGGAGTATTTCCAAATGACGGTGTGCATGTGACCTGTCGCATTCGACATTCTTATTTCGCAATCACTTGTTGCCTGGCGTGCATGTCGTCATGAAAGTCAGGCTTGTTAGCACTGAACGCCTTATAGTTAGTTACGGAAATACTCCGCTATGGGCATTGTTAAATGATTGCGTGAAGCTCACGCATATCGGATTCATTGTAGTTCTAATCTAACACACTTTCTATAGTTTCTTGCCTAGACGATATCAATCAAGATTTGCGATAAGGAGTTGCGGAACATAAAGTTCTAAATCATGGCACGCCATGTGGCCGAATGTTCGTCAGAATGACGAGGTCCGCCGACTGCCTGCCGAGTCTGGAGCGACCCGTGCCGTTCCGGCGGTCCCCGGCGTCCCGCCCTGTCGCCACTCGATCGTGATATAGTAGCCCGTCGGTCATGTGCCCCCCCCCCCCCGCCGCGGAGGGACCGCCCGAGGGGGGATGACGTCACGCACCTGGACGGCCGCCCGACCCAGTGCCGGCGTGCCGTATCTGCCCTGACCCTGCGGGCTATTTTTGGTCCCCGTGGCTGCCAGCAGCGGGGGTCGGTGGCCAGCCTGTCCGCCCCGCACGCGTCGGCCAGGCCCACACCAAACGAATGCCGCTCTCTGCGCAGCTGTGTATGCATGGCGCATCATCGACATATTAATTCGACCCAGTTTGTGCAGTGATTTGCTGGCTAATATGATAGCTGTCATGCATGTTGAAAGCTGTTATTGTGTTTGACATTAATCAACCTACACAAGGCATTAGTCAGGTGCATATGCTCCAGAAAATGCAACGCTTAGCTAAACGAACCCATTTTAGAGAGCAGCAAAGGGCTCCCGACGCCTCACGCCTTCGTTACCTCATGTGAATAGACAAGAGTGTAAGTTTAAATAGGAGTTTTAATAGCGAAAAGGAAGCATCGTAAATCACAGGCCATGCTTTCTCAAAAATACGAGCCCCGTGCACCCATGGGGTGTACCTCATCAAAAAATCCTTGAATGAAATGCCCGGTAGAATTTAAAGCCGCCGTTGTATATCAAATGTTGGACATCAGATCAACTCAACTGATCTCCATCATTTATGATGAAGGAGATCATGGTTCTGACCTGAGCAATACTGCCCCACATTGTTTTCGCGTTTATGATAATGCCATTCCGCTCGTTTAACGATACGGCCCGCGTCCTATATGTTCAACTGCATGTCTCGATTAGGAACTCAAGTGTCGCTATTTTCATTGTCATATCATTAGTTCAGGCTCTGAATGTCCACAAAACGTTGGAACACCTAAACTTCTCTCTTCGTTTCCGTTCATTCCATTCTTTCTCTCTTCTCCTCTCCTCTCCTCTCTCTCTCTGTCTCTCTCTCCTCTCCTCTCTCTCTCTTTCCTCTCCTCTCTCTCTCTCTCTCTCTCTCTCTCTCTCTCTCTCTCTCTCTCTCTCCCTCTCAATTTCTCCTACCCTCCTCCCTTTGTATCCCTTTTCTTTCATCCATTCTTTCTTTCTTCTTTTTCTCCTTCGTTTCTCTTCCTCAGCTTTTGCCTCTACGTGCCGACGCAGCAGCCCTTAGTTACCCCGTCAGAACTCCGCACCGAGGCCCGTCAGGTCAAGGCGCGCCCCACGCCGAGTGACCTTGGCTGGCCCGTGCACCGGGAAAACAGCGTTGCGACACGCGAGGCGCCACCCTTGCCGGTGTCTGCAGCGAGTGCGACAGAGCGCTGCGTGGCGCCGCGCTACGAGCTAAGCCCAGCTAGCCGGCGCGGCGACGGGCGGCGGCGGCGGCGGCGGCAGCGGCGATGGGCGGGGGGAGGGCGGAGGGAGGGGCCGGGGTCTACAACGACGGGAAGGGGGAGGGGCGTCAGTGTCGGCGTACGCTACACGCCGCCGCACTGAAGAGCCCTGTTACGGCCTTCCGACATCCTGGTTTCAATGAACAGCGCGCACGGAATCGGCAGTGCAGGGCTGTCGGACCGGGGGCGGACGATGCTCGGGGTCATGTGGCACCCCCCTACCCCTGTAAGGAGGGGGGGGGGGCGGTAAAATGGGCCGTGGCCGCCCCCGTGCTCAACCGACGCCGCCGACCACTGGGTGTGAAACTGCCTGTCAGCTCTGTGTATTGTGCTGGACGGCGACTGAAACCGAGCATGAAACGTCGTCCGTCAGGATCCACTCTAGTGTGAAACGCTGGGTGGCTGTTGAACATTGCAAAGTGGACGGCTGCTCTTCATAATGCAATTTATCCAACGGCAACGAGCCTACGGGGGCTGAAAGAAAACAGGGAAGCTCTCCGATATCAATCAGCAGCGACTCACTTCCTGATGGCAATCAAAAAGTCGGGTATTGTGTGAAACAATGCTTATCAAAGCAGAATATAAAATACCTGTTTTATACATATCAGTGTTAAGCAGGCACTCACCGTCTTTTTATTTTTCCTTTACAAGCAGGACACACCATAACTTAGTCGAAGATGCATAATGCGGTACGTATAAAGTTTCAGTCAGCTTTTCCAACACACACATTATTCCGGGATCAGTCTAGTCAACAGCCTATATCGACCCTAGATTAGAGGGCATCGGGCAGTGGCCCTGCAGTCGGATCTGAGGCCTCCGCTGCCGTCTGTCTTGTCGCCTTGTCTGATGCGCAGTGACGCCAAATGCCTATCTCATCACGGACTCCTCTGGCCGGCACGGTTCCTAACGCCCACGGGCCACTGTCTGCAATCGACCCGCCAGCAGCGTGCTGCAAGAATGGCTCACGATAACGGTACATCGCCAGCACAGCACTGCATGGCGGCAGACGACCGGCCGCGCCCTCAGCCACCCCGCGAGCGGGCTTCCCGAGATGGACAGGGTACACAGCAGGCGGAGGCGGTACGTAGACACAGCCCGCTGGAGTTGACCGCCGAGGGAAGAGGGACTGAGTCTTCGATTAGTTGTCCAGGAAGTTCGATCATGCCACAACAACCCACATTGGACAACTTTCTTATCAGAGTGATTGCTGGAGCACACCAGGAATCCCTTGTAATTTGTACATTCCGAGCCACACGCGTCATGAGACCATGAGAGAAAATGATAATAAATTAACCAGTCACCCATTTCGCTTCTCAGTGCCCAGCAATGCAGGTCAAGTGTCTTTGTGCCAGCGGCACCGGTTAGAGGCCCGGTGCCATAGAATTAACGGCGTCCTTGCGCGGGCTCAGCGCGGCATGAGCCCAACTCAACTATGAGCTCAACGGTGCTGAGGAGCCCGGTGGGTGGTGGTGCGCTGTTTTAGCTCTGGTCTCTGATCTGTGAAGCTGACTTGGGTCTGTCGGCGTGGTATGTAGAGCACTGGTTAGACCAGACCAGCCCTCCCTCTACTGCCGACACTATAAGGCCAGTCTGTCAAAGTGCCAGGCTCCGCGGGCTGCTGTCGGCTGTTTTTGTCGGCTCAACATACGCTGTTTTCTGTCGGCGGAGCTCAGACCACGAACTACCGACGTCATCCACTAGATATGAAGCCGCCTTCCGGTCAATTTAAGCCGCGGTAGTCCGCCGGGTGAGGTCTATTACTTAGGTGATATTTGAAATTATCGTCCCGCGTCATGCATACCACAGGGGATTTCGTGACCGGCTTTGAACATCACGGATCCTCATGGCCTTGGTGCAGATCGATGTCGTAAAACTGGACAAAAGTTTGGGCTTCGGTTGTGCAAATGCATAATTGCACACATGATTGACAGGTTTCGTTGAATGGTGATCTGCAAGCTGCAGTTTTTTTTCGGTGACGACGCCGACAATAGCAAGTAGGCATTTATCAGTTGCTTCAAAATGTATAGGAAGGTAGGTATACGATATCATCATTCAATACCTATTATATAGTGTTGACATTGAATAAACTCAGCATCTGATAGGGTACCTACTTGCCATACATTATGAGACACGAGTGTTAATGCCAATAAATAATATGTGGCGCAGAGACTTTATCCGTCTTCCTATACCTACACCTGAAAACGGCATGTCAGGTAGTATAATTAATAAATATTGTGTAAGACAACGCCTTGCGTTTATCTTACATGAGGACTCAGGTGCCTAAATTGGTTTAAAATGACGACAACGCTACCTATTCGTGAGCCACGCAACGGACACGCGATCTTCTGTACTTACACAAAAAGTCACACATTTATATGGTAAAACATGCAATAAACTGTTGCATCATGAAGTTATTGTCTTCTTTTAACAAACTTCAATTGCACGTTGCAGAATCACACTCCTTGCTGCAGTTTATGCCACCTGCACCTTCCCGTACAGAACCATTACAGCTAACGGTATCCGAACAACCCGCTGCTTAACCGCACCAGCCTCTACCGCACTCTTGCATCGCCAATAATCGCAGAGACGCGGCGCCGGCACGTCACCCACGCGTGACGTTCACCGTGACGCGCCGCGATGTGACGTGACGCCACCGCGATTAGCCCTCGGCGGCCGCCCGTCACGGGTCGGCCGGCGTGATGCACGAGCACGCCGTACGAACGTGACGGGAGTCACTACCAGACGCTGAACGAGCGCAGGCACCCACTGTGGTGTGATTGTTGCAAAGCCGATCGAAGACCTACACCACTTCTGTCACCATTTTTCTGAACGCAAGAACGACAGACGAAAAAAGTAGTAAAAAAGTAGAACGTAGAACGAAAAGTCGCTCAGCTTCGGATAGCATCCGGTCAGACCGGCCTGGCAGGAAGCTGAGCAAGGAAACTGACAAATTGGAAACGAGAAGAGAGTATGAGTATGGAAAGTGTCAAAACAACAATCGCGCCTCATCCAGGACTCCTCGTATCCCTTGTGAAAACAGAAGGACGAGCAGTTGTTTTCCGCGATAATGAGCAATAAATGGTGATAAAACTTTGGGACATTGCCACAGAAAAAAATGCCTATGTGGTTTTGTGAGCAAAATATAAAATAAGTTTGTTTACCTAGAAAATGTGCGATTACTTCATGATGATGAATGATGTGTTTCCCTATAGTCTGTTTTCCGCATAACACATAAAAGAGGCCATCTTTAACGGCAGCGTGGTCATGAAAAGAACAGATGAAATGATACAAAGAGACACGGGCGTGCTTATGGCGGTTTTATAAAAAAAAATGCAGAGCAAAAGCGATCTTGCTCTCTCTAAACCAGTTTTAGTAGGGTGCTCTAAGTGCCTGTCAGCAAATAAACTCTTGCAGTCGGGCGGCGGAATGTTTTCAACCGCTTTCTAAGAATTACAAACCAAGTCGGAAAATTACTCGAGATTCCCGCACGGATACCGTGAAAATCTTTGCGCGCCAGCATATCATTGCTCATCATACACGAAATGCTATTTACCTAGTCGGCAGCGCTGGAGTGCACATAATGCAAGCTAAGGAGACGATGGCATTCCCACATTTGGCGCTTTCTATGAATCCAACTACCAAAGAAAGCTTTCTATGAAGTTGTGCATCGGATGGAATCCAAGTCCGGTTAGATGGCCAGATCTGAACAACTTCAGGTCAACTTTGGATCAAACAGTTTGACCAACTTCAAGAAACGGTGCACTGTGAAGTCGAGTGCACCGGAAAACCCGGAGGGAGGGTGGCGGCGAGTCCGGTTCAAAGCTGTCTCACAACGCCCCTGAATGACAAAAAGATGCACTGAACAATAACATTGGAATCGGGCTCATGAATCTGGTCAAGTCTGATTGTTACGCTTGAACATCTCAATCGGGCGGTCAGATTTGGCCGCCAGCTTTCAAGTGTGCCCATGATCTTATTTTGGTCCCCCTCCCCCGACCAGCTCCCCAATTTCCCGGCCTGGTTCTCCGGCTCTCAGGCCTGGTTCCCAGCCGTTAGACCTGCTTCCCCTGCAGAACTCACCGTAAAATTCAGCGTGGGCAACACCTCGGTGAGGTCGAGGTCGGGCGTATTCCGCGTGACCCGGAGGCAAGTGTAGCTCTCCTGCTGGTCGCTGCTGTCACCAGCACCTGCCGCCGTCGAGCGCCGCTCGCTGGTATCCGGCAGTGCCAGCACCAGCAGCGAGAAAGCCGCTGTGCTGGTCAGCAGCAGCAGGCGCAGCGTCCGCCGCCGCGTGCGGAAAAACAGCTGCCAGCGGGAGAGCCAGCGGCACAGCGACATCGCCGCGCTCCTGTCACAGGGAGAGAACTTGGTCAGGGCCAGGGAGCTTTTCAGTCAAAGCGTCACGGGCGCGGGTAGGGGTGAGGAGACAGGAATGCACCTCATGGATCTGATATCTGACTTAGCATCTCAACAGCTAGACAAAAATGAGCAGAAACCGTGTGCTGTAAGTTTTACATACTGCTCAACTATATCGTTCATGTAAAGACTTGGTTTTCCACCAGTTCAGTGTATCGGCTCCAGTTAACTCAATACGCAACAGAGCAGCGCAGGGTCACCATCTCACTGACTCTGTCACCCAGTCCACTGGGCTGACTGGTGGACTGGGTGGGCGAGAGAGTCAGTCCACCGGGCTGACTGATGGACTGGGTGAGAGAGCCCCCCGGGCTGACTGGTGGACTGGGTGGGCGAGAGAGTCAGTCCACCGGGCTGAGTGGTGGACTGGGTGGGCGAGAGAGTCAGTCCACCGGGCTGACTGGTGGACTGGGTGGGCGAGAGAGTCAGTCCACCGCGGACTGACTGACCGGCCGGCAGCCGGTGAGCAGTGGGCCACGGAGGGCCGACCCGCCGCGAGAGGCGACGAAGGGGAGGGCGCAGTTCGAACACACAGCTTCGCATGTATGACGGCTTTGTGTTGACTGCTGATCCGACCTAAACTTGCTCTTAACCGCTAGATGTTACAAAGATGTTGGGACATCTTCCCAACTGTTTTCCCTGCAATTTCGCATCGCATGCTAAAAATAATAGCACTTATGCATGCATACCATGCAGGAGTTTCCGCCCTAGAATATTCGTGCATATCTACTGCTGAGCGGCCATCGGTTCAAACTCTGCAGCTATAATTACTCGCCAGATAACGGTTGTTTTAGGTTGACAGAAGACGCAACTGAGCCGAGCCTTTCAATGGAACATAAAGACAACCCCTAACCGTAGGAATAACATTGTTTTTAGGATGTTTTACTTTTTTGTGAGCATCAACGTCAATTTATTACAGTCACCTCTATTTTTTAGTCTTCTTGCAGTTTGCACATAGTAAAAATTGTACAATACCGTAAACCAAAAAGCACCTGATGATGACGCAGACACTGGTAAGCCGTCAGCATCTATATCTTAACGCCATATGGTGTTTACTTCCTGTGATTCATAACACAAATCATAATGATCGTACACGTGGCAACACCAAGCCAACCGAACCGAACCAGATCGCACCTTGACACCAGCTGCAGTTAATGCTGGATAGGTGCGCTGAGTCTCACCAAGTCGTCATTGTTAGTGTTGACGCCAGCACAGAGGGACAATGTCCCTTTGTTAGCCATCGGCTATACAAAAAGTCACACAGTCAGGTCGCACGTTCCAAGTGGCCCTATGGTCAGGTGAGGATGTCACGCTCTCGTGAAACCCACTCCGTGTATGATAGGGGGTGAGTTTTGCTTTTCACCGAGCAGATTGCACTTCGCTCAGCTTTTATGGACAGAGACTCATCACTCCTTGCTCTGTTTGCTCCTTATGGAATCATAGGGCGATGGGTCGCACATCTAACTTTGAACCGGGACCGTTTGTTTGTGGTTTGTGTCCGTGCGGATATCACACCCGTGATGGTCCAGCTGATTGCCGCATCAGCGCCTATGACCGATGTATTACCTACATCCGGTGGGGCCCAGGGGTGTGGTCTAATGGCGAGGCCGCCCAGGATCGGACCCCGCACAGGTACCGGAAGCGCTGAAAGTTAACGCTTTATGCAGCCGATACACCGTGGTGATAACATTTGAGGGGACACGAGGTTTTCATCCACCGTAGTTTACACTATGCTCTATAATGTAGCCAGACGCGAGCTGCGGTTTCACTTTTCACTTATAGCCTGACAGCAAACGCGCTGTGTCGTTGTTGGACAGGTTGTTATGATACTTCGAGTCAATGTGGCGTAAAACGTGTCAATTCTACGTCACGCCTCATCCCCACGCCGTTTTCGAATGCCTGCGCCTGCAGTAAAGTTGTACCAACATGGCCTATCAAAGCTGACTCGATGCACGGACTCTTGTAGGGCGTTCTGCTCGTTCTGCTGCCAAAAGTCGCCCTAAGTTGTTTTTCCTCTCTGATGCATGTTATGAATGCACACGGAAGTGTGAGGGGATCAAAAGGCCGTGTGGTTCGTCATGTCCGTCAGTCGGGTTAGACCACCAGATGCATGTCATGCTATATAGGGCTCTGTTTGTTGTGTTAACCATGTGAGTGCACCCTGCACAGCACGGCCCCTCGGCCTCATCCATAGCAGATACGCAGAGGAGGACGTTGAACCCTAACCCGCATGTGGCAAATTATTACTCCTGCACTGCACTGAACATTGCACAGCGGGTCGTCAATGAGGTATGGTATGAGAAACTGCATTGATAAAAAATACACACATGGGTCATGGATCCAATTCCCATATGCACGTTTCATTCCAGATAGCAAAAATGTGCTGGTACTACAATCGACGTTGCCAAATAATCTTTCAGGATACAGATTACAGATCGACACATAACCAACACAAGTTCTGCGACACTGACGGGGACCCAGTCTGTCGTGTGATTCTCTGTCACTTCTGCCGTTTGTCCTCCGGCCATTGCTACCTTTTATAGTTGCTCACTCTCCTGCGCTTCTCCGGCAGTCAGTGCTCATGTTTGTTTGGCAGTCAGTGATGCTGTTTGTCGGACTGATGCCGTTTATTCGTCGGTAGCCACTCGCTGCTACCCTTTATACTCCGATAACGTGTCCACTGCTGCGGATACACGACAGCGTTGTTTTATACGTAATCAGTCACTGCAGCCGCCGTTTATAGTCGGGCGCTTCACCGTTTGTGCAGCACGGTTACTGCTGCTAGCGGTGTTGCCGTTTATAATCGGTCACTGCTGTCGTTTGTTCGGCTCGGCGAGTGCTGCCGTTTGTTCTGCGCGGTCACTGCTGCGGTCACTGGCGCCGTTGGACTTTGGTTTGGCTCGGTCAATCCCGTTTGTTCGGCTCGGTTTCTGCGTCGGTCACTGCCGTTTGTTCGGTGCGCTCACCGCCACATCCCGTCACCCCGAGAGGTTTTCCGTGTCGCCGCGTGCCCCGCGAGCTAATTAGTCCGGCTGATGCGGTTACCCGGTCTTTCATCAGCCGTCGGTCCCCCGGGCCGGCAGGCGGAGTGACGGAGGGGTTGTCAGGCCAGCCAAGAGGTGAATGGGGAGAGGCGATGGGTGGGTGGAGCTAGGAATGAGGTAATTGGGGAGAGAAGTGCGGAGTCTGGACGGTGCATAAGGTCCGAGTAAACGGGTGAGACTCAGAATAGCTGGAGATTAGAGTAAAGCAGAGCAGAGCAGAGCAGAGCAGAGCAAAAGAGGAGGTAGAAAGAAAGAGAGAGAGAGAGAGAGAGAGAGAGAGAGAGAGAGAGAGAGAGAGAGAGAAGAGAGAGAGAGAGAGAGAGAGAGAGAGAGAGAGAGAGGAGAGAAACAGAGCCAGAGACAAGGGCAGAGGTAGAAGTAGAGACAGAGGAAGAGACAGAGACAGAAAGAGAGACAGCGACAGAGAGAAAGACAGAGACAGAAAAAGATACCGATACAGACACTCAAAGACAGCCCGAGATACTGCAGCCAGTAACGCCCACAATCTAAACTCATCCCACATTACGGACGATCGGCTCGCCGGCGCCCGGGGCCGTCTGCACCGGTCCAGCCGGTCGCGTCGGACGACCAGCATCGCCCTGCACTCTGCACGGCCTTACAGACGCCGCCGCACTCAACGCCGGCACGCCGCCTGCAATTACTCAACGCTGGATAACGGGTCGCCCACGCCAGCACTCAGCACACTTTAGCAGCGGTACGCATTTCTTCCCATTGGTTACGCTGCGGTTCGCGGTGAGGCTGGTGTTTGACAGACCCCAAGCCCAACGCTGTGGTGTCCGCAATACGGTCCTGTGGTCAGGGGACGTGCTCACGCGGATTGGTGGCCTGCAGTGCTTGGAGGCATGAACGCATGTCTTGATGAACAGTAAAGACCAGAGGTGGACTAGTCCCGCGCACAGTCATCCATTTGACAAAATAATTGCTGTAGCTTTCTGCGTGGATGCATTCCAATGAGCGTGTTCCCATGCATGGTCATCACAGTGCCCTGGCGCTACCATGTCACCGGGCCAAATCCAAGTTGTGTACAAAAACATGAGCTCCAGCGATGGGTTCGAGTAATTTACCGTGAAGTTATGTCATAAACTTCTAGATCTCATACCCAGGGGACGAGATTCGACTCAGAATCTCAAACTGACATCACATGCCTCAGAAGTCAGCATGCCACCTTATCCAGTGGCGGATCCAGGGGGGGCAAAATGGGCATTTGCCCCCCCCCCCCAAACGGCATAATTTTAACATTACGCCTATGGACGATGCATGGAAAGAATCGATAAATTTTTATGGTTTGCCCCCCCCCCCAAAAAAAAAACTCTGAGCTAGATCCGCCTCTGACCTTATCTATAAATAACCTAGCTATGTTTATTTATTTACCTTTACAATCCCAACCCCTGGCTCGTGGAGGTAACAAGTTTGTAAACAACGGTAACCTAGCCAGTCGATAAGAGCAGGAATTTCCGCTGCCGCTGGCTCGAGGCGGGGTCTTGCCACTGCACTGGGGCCGACTCTGAACCGCCAGTCCCGACTCACGGGTCGGTCCGTGAGCTGCCTGCGCCCGGTAGAAGCGGGGTTTCTCCCGAGTCACGGAATCGCGACCAAGTTGCGTCACCAGGCGGCAGTACGCGGTCAGCGACGCGCTTCAATCACGATTCACAGATTAGAGACGCGAGAGGTCAAATATGGGAGGTAGAAGAAAGGAAAAGGTTTTGGAAAGCCAAAGAAGCATATATACGAATACACAGAGAGAGAAAGAGAGAGAGAGAGAGAGAGAGAGAGAGAGAGAGAGAGAGAGAGAGAGAGAGACAGAGACAGAGACAGAGACAGAGAGAGACAGAGAGACATAGAGACAGAGAGAGACAGAGAGAGACAGAGA